AATTTCATGATTATTAGATTACACTGATATCGAAGGAACTAGACTCAGTTCCGAAATATCGCATACTCGAACCGTCCTGACCGCGTAGCTCAGTTGGAAGAGCATTGGGCTAGTATTCCAAAGGTCGTAGGTTCGATTCCCACCGTGGCCAGGCATATGTTTCGGGCCTGCCCGGTGTGGATATACACTCAGAGTAACATCACACAAACATCTTATTCACCTGAGTACATTACACCAACACAGCAGATTTCATGATCTGGAAAGTTTTTACAATCCGTCATATATTTAAAGCATCCTTTCATAATCCTTGCTCTTTTTATCTGATTTGTATCAGAAATGTGCCAAACAAGGTATTTTTATCGCTATTTGTTGTATTTGAATAAAATGTAAACAATAAAAGCCCGCAATGCATGACCCTGACACTAATCCTTTAAGCTCCATTCCATATAGTTACTCTTCTCAATTAGATTCTTCTTTCGATGTTAACAGAATGCGCACTTGGAAAACCTACTGCTCTAAATGCCGTTCTTTCATCTTAAGCTGTAGGCCTACATGTTGCTCATAATCTAACCCATTAATTTTTATATTGTTATGTATAAATAGTGTTCTAGTCCTTGTCTTTAATGTATGTCTACTTATTGTTTTGTATCGGGCTGGTCTTCACATGGGACTCATGTCCGGTTGACCATACCTTCAATCATTGTTATTCTTTTCTATGATTGTAAAGTTAATAAATAAATAAATAAATAAATGTATAATTAAATGTATGCATCTGCCCACAGGTATGGAGGAAAGACGTGAAAAGAGCTTGCAATGTTGGCCGCAATTGCCAACAGTCAAATCTCCGTGTTAAGCCTGAGAAAGGTAAAGCAATCCTGTGGTACAGCCATGAGATAAACGACGACACAGGATGGTTGGGTGGCAGTGATCCTTATAGTGTCCATGGTGGCTGTGATGTGAAGAAAGGTGGAAAGTGGATTGCAAATAACTGGATATCTGTCAGTGAAAACCGCAACGACGACATCGAGTTTTGGGTTAAATATTTGCACAAATCAGGTAAGTTTATAACAAGAATAATTGACTATTCGTACGATTTTCAAGTTATTTGTCTGGAGAAAATTAACCACTTGGTGGGAATTTGGTGAGCAATTTCACTAGAATGTCTTGCCAATGGTCTGATGCTAAGACACCTCATTAAGGCCTATTCAGACAGACCATAGTCAATAGAATAAGAAGGTTAGGGAACTCGATGCAGAAATAATTGACCTCAATATCGATGTTTTTGTCTGGTTTATGCAAGAAATGATCGGTTCATCGTCACGTGTATATTGTTTTTTCGCTCAACCAACCAAATGCAGTATGTTGGTTTAATTATCCAGTCGTGATGTTACACAATGGCTAAATGAAAACATAGCTATTGCCTATTGGTTGTTCTAGCGAGAATACAATACACAGGTGACGATGAACCGACAATTTTTTTCGCAAACATGTCTGCATCGAGTTCCCTAACCGTCTTAATCTATTTACTATGTTCAGACTCTTGTTCGCGCAACACTACCCAACAATTTCCAAATAATGTTATCCTGTTTCTTTTGCAATTATTTGAATGCAAAAATTTCGAATATGGATAAATGTAAAGTATCAAAAAGATTTGAAAAATAAGCAGGTAAACGTTGTTGCATGATATTGGAGCAACATAGTTGAGTGTGTTGGAATGCGCTATTTCACTTGACACTCCATTTGCACTTTTAAATTTCAGCCATTTCGAATGAGTGAGATATTGTTAATCCTCTAGATAAAATTGGGTTGTAACTTGACTTCAAACACTCATTAATAATTCATAAGCTTATTGGCAAATCATGTCAACCATAATATGTCACGTGCAGTGGCTTTAAACCTGATAAAACACTCCTAATTAGTATTCTTTTATTTCTTTATATAAAAAATACTAATAAGGCAGTAATAATGTATCTATTGAATTTGTAGTCGTGTTTGAAGCCGTTTAATAAACTCGCAGGTCCTGTTTTATTAGGTCAAAAGCCACTCGCGCTGCGCGCTCGTGGCTTTAAACCTAATAAAACACTCTTGCTCGTTTATTAAACAGTACTTTATCCGTTGGGGGACGAAAAATATTTAAAAAATAGAACGAAAAAATTCAACCATGCAGTTCAGAGTTTCGATGCTGGGATTTATAAGCGTTAAAAGATTGGTTTGGTTGAGATGGATATAGAAACGTCTTGGAGGCCGAAAGCTAAAGTCTTTGAAATTACTTATCCTGGGTTCCAGGGGGAAGATTTCACAAAAACCTCAACGTACGTTCCAAAATGGTAACCTCCACCAAAATTTCTCTATTAGTCCCAACCAGTCGATTTTTATTTGTTTATCTTTGAAAAACTCAATAATTCATGAGGAAAACACAAAGGAAATCACTACGGTGTCGGTGGTTCATATATGTGATAAAAAAATCATGTTAATTTGCATAAACTTTAGCTTTGATTTTCTTGGCTTAAGGCGGATTTCCAGTCCTCGCACGAAGCTCGCTGCGAGTGCATGCATGAGCACTTTCATCCAATCACAATGCTAAACAGTTAATTTTAATTAGATGCAAGCAATCGCAGCGAGGAGCTTCGTGCGAGGACTGGAAATCCGCCTTTAGACAATGTTTATTTTTAAAATTACTTCGTCAATGAATACCTCGGCAGTCGCCTCGTGTTTTATGTCTGATAAAGCACTCCTGCTCTTGTTTTTAATAATACTCATTTTAAACAACCAATTTAATTTCATATATTTAATATTTATAGTTCACAATGCAGATCGAAAACAAACAGAATCTAGTAGTGGAGATGAAAGCGGTGCATTGTTTGATGAAATTTCCAATGCGGTTGAGTCAGAAAATACAAGGAAAGAAGAAGACGACAACACAGTATTCGATACTTTAGAACTTTCAGATATGGAAAATATCAAAAACAGAGAAGAACTCTGAACACACACAAATGCAAAACGACGATCTATGTAATAGGTTCTCTCCTATCTGGCTTTAGGAAAGTAAAACCAAATATCATACCAGGAAATAATTTAAACTGTATTATAATAGTTTCAAAAACTGTAATATTTATTTCTATTTTATAGTAACAAGTGGTTTCGCTTCTACATATATGCTTACAGTTGATTTGCTCATTTATGTCCATCTCTAATTCGTTCAACATCTTGCAAGATTGTTTTGTTTTATTTTGTGAAAAACGCCGCATTTGTTTAAATTGCTCATATTACATATAGGAATAGCTTTCGTTATACGTATTTCAGGATATTGCACCGATGATAATTTCGAAGCTTTGCCAAATAAATATAAACGTGCATGATGTTTCCATTAACACTATTAGGCTACAGTAAACAAGTTTTAGTCAAATAATTATATCATTGCGTAGAATTCGCTGTCTTATATCAGGAAATTTTACAAAACTGAAAAGCCTCAGAAATGTCTCAAAATTAAAATGTATCTTAAACAAAAACATGGGTCTATTATAATCTCAAATTATTCAATAGTGATTGGATCATGCCTGTGTTTTTCTGATTGCAAAAACGAAGTACGGTTTTACTGCGTGCTTTTGTAACAGCATCACAGCGAGCATCACAGCATGTAACAGCGGGAGCGCGTCGATCAACATTTAACGGACGTTTTATCCCAATGCTTTCTGCTACCATATTCATGAAAAAAGCATGTACATTTTTACTGAAACTATAGTGTTTCTTATTCGTGTTTATCTTTCAACTTTTCAATTTTTGTCAGCGTCGCTTTAATACACAACCGCACTGATCTGCCAAAAAGTAAACCCGTTGTATACCGGTAGCGTCGGTCCGGATGAAATAGGTCTATAATGAAAAGTGCTAAAATATTCATTCGGTTTAAAATGAAAACTGTCGAAGGACTCGAAGGCCACAAATTTTCTCCAAGTACTTTGTAATAATTTAGTAAAACTGCACCATCAGTGAGTGCTCTTTATTGGTGCACCATCTTTATTGGTGACGCGAGTGTGGTTGAAGGATGCAACCATTTGAAAACAAACGTCGACAGCCTCTTCGTCAAAGTTTATTTATTTTGCAATAAATCTTGGGTACCCTTCTGTATAATAACTGCAATGAAGCAAATCTTTCATTTACGTACCTCTATAAGTCTATCAAGCTAGCTTAGGTTTTTTGTGGTGTAGTAATACTGAATCAACATAAATCATCGATACAGGAGAAACGGTTTAGAACTTAGAGATCTATCAAATATAACTAGTATGTTGTTTTTTAATTACCGTGAGTTTTTGTCTAACATACGATCTGAATATGCTTTACTTTATAATTGAAACGTGCTTCGCCTTGGGCCACTTGTTTGGTGTATAGTTAAAATACACTTTGAAAACAAAGTTTTATTTAAATTTGTCTCTCTTTCTTGTTTTCCTAAAATGCAAACTATTAAAGATGTCAACATCCGAAACAGATGTTTGACTATATATGTTTTTTGTTCAGTTGTCTTTCTTTTTTATGAACAATATTTATTAACTTTGAAACAAATGATAGCGATATTAATTTTATTACAACGACGTTTGGATGTTTTTTGTTTGTCTTGGCTCTTGCGCATATAGTTTGCTAATTATTATGAGATATCCAGCATATGCCTGCAGCTTGCATACATGCATGCATGCATGAATACAAATTTTAATTGTCCAACATATATGGCATTATAGACAAACTTTGTGAAGAAACTATTTGAGAACAAACGTATCTCTCAAACGTAACGTTTTTGTTTTGCTTTTTCTTTGTTTTATCGCCATGCAAACATACAAAGAACTTGAACTTTGTGAAAAAACTATATATCACCGTGCACACTGTACATCATGAACTTTCTTTTTTATGACTTTGCAAAACTGTATAGGAAAGCAAGGCCATGCAACCTTGAACCTGCCGCCAGAATTACATCTTTTCATATCTTGTCATTACTAAAAACGCGGCAGGTGCGAGAAAAACAATGCAGATAAAAGCCAAATGACCGAAAAGGACTTAGCTGCACTTAGTTAGAAACTTCACAGTAATTTTGAGCCATATCAATTAAAAGAGCCGCAGAATATATCCATTTCAATATCTGCTGTCTATACTTGTTCAATTCTTCACAAGAATTAGTCGTTCAATGATGGAGCTCCGCTATTTTATTAGCCTGATTTTCGTATTTGTTTTGAATGTGTTGTTCTTTTTCTCAGGAATATGTTTAAATTCCGTGGTCATACTCAGTTTCTGGAGATCTGCACAACTTCGAAAGAAATTATGTTATTTCATGATAATGGTTTTGTCTTGTTTCGACTTGCTTGTGGTTTTATCCAGTCATCCATATACGGCTCGTATCGCGATGTTATGGTTGACTGGAAAGTTGGATGTATACCCTAGCGGGGAAGATATTCCTACATGGATAACAAATATCTTCATCGCTTTTTCTTTACTCGTTCTTTTGGTGATGAATTTTGATCGATATTTGGCGACATCTTATCCTATCTTTCATCGAACATCGGTAACAAAGGGAAGATTGCTAACTCTTCTTGCAATACTCATTATTGTTTTCCTTACTTTCGCACTGATGGCTGCAAACGACTTTTTTATTTCCTATGAAGTTGGTGTTATCATATTTTTTATTCTTGTCTCTCCCCCAATGGTGTTCATCAACTACAAATTGTTCACAATTGCAAGGAAAAGTCGTAGAATATCTCCCGAGATGAAAAAATCGTTTTCTTTGAAAAATATATCGAGTTGCTTGCTAGCAGTCGCTTGTTTTCTGGTGCTGCTATCCATTCCAGTGTTTGTCTTCATTGGGCTAAAAATTGGGCTGAAAGAGAACGAACTTACTTTGAATAATGCAAACATTGCAGGACTCTGGTCTCACACTATAGTCTCGATGAATGGTACATTTAACTGCTTAATCTTTTACTGGAAAAACAAGATTTTAAGCACCGAGGGAATGAAAATTTTTAAAAGCCTGAAAGTATGTCGAAGAACGAAGAGTCCAATTCTAATCTGATGAAAGAAGAACCAAGCAAAATATATTGGAGAGGAATATGTACATATTGTTAGCACTGATGAAGATCCGAGCTTTGTTTTATCGCCATGCAAACCTACAAAGAACTTATATTGGAGTTTGAAGGATAAACAAGTAAAGAACATAAATTTTTAAAAATGTGACAACAGTAAAAATAAGTATATGGAACTGCCATCCGCCGGCAGCTGCCTATAACACAAGACAGCTGGAAATATTCTTTCTTTAATGAAAAGTGTCGAAGTTGAAGGCCGCAAGTTTTCTCCGAGTATTTTCCTTAGTAAAACTACAGCATCAATGAATGTTGTTTATAGGTGCGGCACAGACCCCGGAAAGAACAGTTTAGAACTGATGTTGAAAACTGTAATGATGAGCGTGGTTGAAGCATGGATAATAAAATAAATGGATAGGAAACTAGCTGACGTGACCTAACGTTTTCAATGGGCTGATGGCGTGATAGGATATTGAAACCTAGTTGCAAACCAAATTCTCAAAAACGGCATGTTTAGCAATAATACAGCTAAACATTTTAGTCAAAGAGCAAATGAATATAACTACGCCATTCTACGATGAAATCTCTAAGTATTCCCAGTCAATTTTAGACAATGTTTATTTTTAAAATTATTTCGTCAATGAATACCTCGGCAGTCGCCTCGTGTTTTATGTCTGATAAAGCACTCCTGCTCTTGTTTTAAATAATACTCATTTTAAACAACCAATTTAATTTCATATATTTAATATTTATATAGTTCACAATGCAGATCGAAAACCGAGGGGCATTTCACTCCAAAAAAGCGTACGGGATTTTCGGATTTTTAAAAATCCGCGGATTTTTCCCGGATTTTTTAGCGGATTTTTGAAGAGAAAATCTGTTGGATTTTCCGGATTTGTTTGGATTTTCCGGATTTGTTCGGATTTTATCCAGATTTTTTGACGAAGCGTAAGGGATTTTCGGATTTTTAAAAATCCGCGGATTTTTTAGCGGATTTAGCGGATTTTTCCCGGATTTTTAGCGGATTTTTGAAGAGAAAATCTGTTGGATTTTCCGGATTTGTTCGGATTTTTTCCGGATTTTTTGACGAAGTGTACGGGATTTTTGGAGTGAAATGCCCCTCGTCGAAAACAAACAGAATCTAGTAGTGGAGATGAAAGCGGTGCATTGTTTGATGAAATTTCCAATGCGGTTGAGTCAGAAAATACAAGGAAAGAAGAAGATGATAACACAGTATTCGATACTTTAGAACTTTCAGATATGGAAAATATCAAAAACAGAGAAGAACTCTGAACACACAAATGCAAAACGACGATCTATGTAATATAGGTTCTGTCCTAGCTGGCTTTAGGAAAGTAAAACCAAATATCATACCAGGAAATAATTTAAACTGTATTATAATAGTTTCAAAAACTGTAATATTTATTTCTATTTTATAGTAACAAGTGGTTTCGCTTCTACATATATGCTTACAGTTGATTTGCTCATTTATGTCCATTTCTAATTCGTTCAACATCTTGCAAGATTGTTTTGTTTTATTTTGTGAAAAACGCCACATTTGTTTAAATTGCTCATATAGGAATAGCTTTCGTTATACGTATTTCAGGATATTGCACCGATGATAATTTCGAAGCTTTGTCAAATAAATATAAACGTGCATGATGTTTCCATAAACACTATTCAAACAATTATTTCATTGCGTAGAATTTGCTGTCTTATATCAGGAAATTTTACAAAACTGAAAAGCCTCAGAAATGTCTCAAAATTAAAATGTATCTTAAACAAAAACATGGGACTATTATAATCTCAAATTATTCAATAGTGATTGGATCATGCCTGTGTTTTTCTGATTGCAAAAACTAAGTACGGTTTTACTGCGTGCTTTTGTAACAGCATCACAGAATGTAACAGCGGGAGCGCGTCGATCAACATTTAATCGACTGCTATGATTTTAAGAAAGGTATACCAGTCAGAAAATGTATAGGGTTTTTAAAGGTCCTCTTGAAAGCTTTAATCGTTGATGGCTGCAAGGCGGGGTAACGGGGATAATGAGCTGACTCGTACCCAGTCATTGAATGAGGATTAAAAAATACCCTGTCTTTGAAGGAGGATTAAAAAAAAATAGTGGTGAATATAGTGGTGCACATTGGAATGATCACACTCTTCAGTCCACTGATCTATATATTATGTACTCATAATTAATAGTTTTGACAAGTGGGTATCATGGATAATAAAATAAAAAAATAAAAAATTTATTTTACTATCCATGGTGGGTATAGGAGTGTGGGGTATAAAATCTGCAGTTGACAATATAGACAAATTTGGCTAACGTGTGTTTATACCCAATTACAACTTCAGGTAACTCGCATGCCTATTGTCCTTGTTTACAGAAGCATAGAACAACACAATGGTAGCTAAGCTTTAGAATTATACCTCTTATACATACAATTCTGATGCTTGGTTATACTTTTGTTCTATTTTATACTTCTTTCAACTAGAACAATACTAACTAGGTATGTGAGTTATCTAAGTTGTGAACTGGTTAGCAACGATGCAAATAACGTTGCCAAATTAGTCTGTTAGCCCAACAATGGGCCAAACCTCGAAGTAGCTTGTTTTACCATTATTTCATGTAAGCACTCACTTTACAGATGATATACGCGCTATCCAATCACAAAAATCCGATCAATTCCCTTGGGGGGATGTTGACCGCTGTACATTGAGAATTCTACGCAATGATATGAATTACGTATACCATGAAAAAAAACCGTTAAAAACATTGTTTCAGCTTAAATTATTTGATCTTATGCACACGTCCAATACACAACAATAAAAGTAAGTTAATTAACGAAGTCGTTCTAACTCTATTTTAATTGGTTCTCGCCTCCGTTTTGCTATGGTAACATACTGCATGTCATCGATGGATTTTTAAGGCAGACTGAAAACAGAACTAAAGCTTTAAAGAACTAATAATATTCCACTAATGACCTTATAACAGTATTTCTCATATTTATTCACTTGTAATATAACTATAATATGTGATGTTGTGATATATATTGTTCACGCGGTATTTATGAATTATGATAGGAATTTTCAGCTTGCGCGGTTTGGAATCATTCACTCGAGAAGATTTCATCCTATCAGTATGAAATGTAGTAATTTTCATCATTCCTGATGATGACTAAAATCTAGTCGAAACCTCGAATAAACACTTTTCAAAATGATTTTTTTTTCTGTGTTTATAGTGCAATGCACTCAGGTGAATATGATGCTTGTGATGTTACTCTGAGTACCGACCTGACCGCGTAGCTCAGTTGGCAGAGCATTGGGCTAGTATCCCAAAGGTCGTAGGTTCGATTCCCACCGTGGCCAGGCATATTTTTTCAAGTGGATATACACTCAGAGTAACATCACAGGCATCACTTTTCAAAATGTTTACCGCTTTTGGAGTTAACAATTGTATTTAATTTTTAGTCTTGGCAAAATTGAATTCCTTTTCTTTAAGTTCAGTAACCAAGGTGTCCATGCTCATGACATGTCATTGGTATGCAGTTGTTAAAAACAATGATATATTGGCAACTCATTTTCAAAGGCAATCAACTTCAACATTTGGCTGAGGTATAAATATTCCTTTTCAAATTGAGAGCGATATATGATAAAAAATAGACACTTGCACTGGGTTCTTGGCAATGAAGTACACATGGGCGTTTTGAAGTTAGTGCATGACTGAGAGTCATGAAGGAGCTCTTTCAACTTTTAATCCGTTTCCCCACGCAACATTCCCATGCCGTGGTCCAAATGCTATGCATTTTCCAGTTGAAAAAAATAGGCACTCCGACATTTCCTCTTCACGACATTCTTCGCGACATTCATGGCGAATTTCAAGAATTTGGTGGAACGACTTTTACACAAATTCACTGAGTTGGCATTATACTTATGGCATGAGAGCTTAATTAACAATACACCCTTCCGGAAAATATAATAATAAAGCACGTATTTATATGATATACAGGGTGTCTCAAAAAAAACGCTATGGAAATTCAACAGGCTGTCGCGCATCATAAACGTGGCTAAACAATTCAATCTTTATATAGGACGAAAGAACAGTTATTTAACTTTTCAACGATATTCTTTTTAAATCGTAACGATGAGAAATGGCCACATATACTCGTCAAATTGCATGGAAAACGAAGCGTAGACAATTCGCAAGAGAGAATTAAAGTTGAATGTTAAATTATCTAAAATGAGCTCAACTCATCAACCTTCGTCTTAGTGAGACAATAAAAACGTCATTATTGCATTAAACATGGTTCAATTAACTACTGAACAGAGACATTTGTAAACGTTCACGAAACAAGTACCTTGCAACAGGCTCTCGTTGCTTTTGGATTGATCAACTTTGCATAATTATTATTTTCAATTCCCAACGGTGGAAGAATGTGTTTTCGACCGACAATTTTTATTTGACGAGTATGTGGCCATTTCTCATCGTTACAGTTTAAGAAAGGTATCATAGAAAAGCTAAATAACAGCTCTTTTGTCCTTTTGTAAAAATTGAATTGTTCAGCTAAGTTTGTGATGCACGACAGCCTGTTGAATTTCCATAGCGTTTTTTTTAGACACCCCTGTGCTGTAGGGTGTCCCAGAGAAACCCAAAACTATTGAAATAACGTATTGTTAGAGTTTGAATGCCCTATAGCACTAAGCTGCGTAAAATATTGACAGGGTGCATGTATATATTATAAATATTGACTTATTAAGAAATTAAAATATCTTTGTAAAGCGCACGATTTTCTGCTCTTGGGAATTTAAAGCAGCTTCTTAAACAGTTTCTTTATGCATTAAATTTACTTATGTCAAACTTCTATGCACTTGTGGGTTCAGCAGAGTGCTGCATGAGGCATTCAAATTCTAACAATACACGTCATTTCAATAGTTTTGGGTTTTTTGGGGGACACCCTGTACAGTATATGTAGTATGTTAAATTGGATCAACTGAACACTCATATGTATAATTAATATGTCACGTGCAGAGGCTTTATACCTGGGCTCATCTTCATTAGTATTTACAACGCTGCAAATGTCTAGTCTGTGGTAGCTCTAAGACTAAGACCTTGATTGTTCTCGCACGATTATCCGACAAAAATACGGGATACTCCAAGTCCAAGAGTAAAATAGAGAATGGCGAAGAATGGAGTTGAAATCTTCAATTAGACGAAGTGCGTTAAATATATATTTCTGAAAATCGTGCGCCTTTACGTGCGTTATTATTGACAATAAAGAACTCTTTAATTGAAAACAAAATGTTTTGCCAGATTCCAATATCAGTGAAAACATTTAAATGGTTGGTATCCGCTTCAAGCAAACACATCTTAGATGCACAATGAAAGTATCGCTACATCTTCGTTGTAGACCGTCCTCTCACAATATATACATACTCCTTGGTATATCCCTGTTGTATATCATTGCTAATGGCTCCACACAATCCTCTGATGATACTACAAAAGAAACCTCATGTCAAAGTAAGGATGATTCACAATTTAATATCAATCTGAATTTACAAAGACAAACGAGAGATGTGGTAATGATGAAACATCTGCCAAGAATTGATCCTGTCAAGGTTAGATTGCCAATCTTTCTGTAACTTCGCCAGTTCCTTTTGATCACCTTTTCCCAACTTTCACGATATAGTATTATATTTAGTGACGCGTATAAGTTATACCATACAGTGTTTTATGAGCTTATGGGGGGGGGGGGCTTATAATAGGAGGTTTACGGTACTGACGTAAAACTGCAGGTGTATAGTTTCGGCGCAATCATAGGCGTAACGATATGAAGAGGATAGTAACATGTACAAGCAAATACATTGTTCATGCAATGGTCGCGGCACTACCCACTTGCCCATGTATAATCGAAGCAGCTTTTCAATTTATAAATATCTAGAAAGGCACTGCCTCTTGAGGAATTATATAAATTTAATATTTTCTTATTCTTACGTAATCAGGTTGACTATACACGAAATGTTCAAATCGTTCCTGGCAAGACGCATCAAATGCGAACATTGGCATTAAATCCACCAATATTTGGTAAGATTTGCAATATCCTGACGTTCACGTGCTAAAAAACGTCGCCTATATATTGGATTTAACAAGCGAAAACGCGTATTTGAAAGCATAGTTGGGCGGAAAACGGTCCAACAATCATTATTATATACAGTCGAGTTTATAAAATGGAAAAATATGTTTTGAAGCAAACAAAATTCAAAGCCCTTTGTATCTTTTATCCTCCACATTCCTATTTTGGCTGAATCTTTCCTTGAGGGAAAAAGCACAATTGCTAAGAGACGGAATCAAATGAACTGCGGATAGTCCATTTTGGCACACACTTGTAATATAATTGTTGTTCTTCTTTTTTCACTAGTAAATGGTTACTGTAAAAACTTAATTGCCCTAAAATTATCACTTCAGTTATCTATATAGAGAGGTCGCAAATTTCAGATAGCTTGGAAAGTGCATAAAGCACCCGAAAAAACAACCTATATATGTACTGAACATAATTTTACGTATAATTGATTGTGGTATGATTATTCTTAGAAGTGAAAGATTTCCTTACTGATGAAGAGTGTGATATAATCATTCACATTGCGAAATACAATGGTCTGGAGTCGAGCCGCACAGTCAGAACATTGGAGCACCGTCGTGTACCACGAGAGAAAATAATTGGACTTTTTGAATCTTTTGATATGGATTATGATGGATATTTAGAAAAATTCGAGGTATTTATATCAAGTAGCTGTAGTATAGCCACGTGGAACTATATATATATATATATATATATATATATATATATATATATATATATATATATATATATATATATATATATATATATATATATATATATATATTCAACAGTAGCTTTTGGCTACTGTTGAAATAAAGCCTAACCTAGGCGGCAAATTTTAATTCAAAAACTATCAGAATATAAAAAGGTGTCGTAGCTTTCGTCGTCAACGATATCATCAGAGACAATATGAGTTATTTATCCCCCGCCCTTCCAAATAAATCCCCTTTGTCAAGTAAGCGTCCCTTCATTGAGACCCTGTCTCTATTAAGCCTTCCCGCCTCCATCCAAAATAAGTTGCCTTCTAGAGGACTTACGATGTTAATGACGTAACAGCCTCCTCCGCAGATCTGCGAAATTACGCAATAAGTAGCAGAGTACGTATACTAGTATATTAATATATAAGTTAAGATCGAATAATAAGTTAAGAATATTGTTAAAATTTAATAATTTAATCTAAGGTAGGTTCCTTTCTCTATTTCATGGCATTCAGTTCAACAATTGCTCTTGGAAAGAAACTGTTTTTAAAGCGTTCAGTTCTGCATTTATACAATGACAGATTATTTAAGTTTCTAATATAATATTGTTGAGCACAAGCTCTGGATTGTGTCACGTGTTCAACAAGGGGGCCTGCTCGTTTAGCAATCTTCTGTAAGGTATTTATACAGGTTTCATTTCGCCTGTCGCTAAGTCTTGTGCAATTAGCCAATCGAAGAGCTTCGTCGTATGGGTGGCCAGGAAAGATAATGCGCATGGCACGCTTTTGTACTCTTTCCAGTTCGTCAGACAGATAGCGAGGTATCGCGTAATTCCATACCTCACAACAATATTCCAGAATAGAACGAATAAGAGCGAAGTATATGTTGGTAAGATCAGCAGGAGGGACACCACCGCGGCATAATACGCGAAGACCGTATAACCGTTTGGAGGCCTTGGTAACGATTGATCGAATTTGCTCGTCCCATTTAAGATTGTTTTGAATAATTAAACCCAACACTTTGTGCGATTGTACCGTTTCTACCACGTAACCATCAATTGTCAAAGATGGTAGCTGCGGGGTTTCTTTAAGAAAGGAAACCCGGAGCTCTTTGCACTTTTTGGCATTCAATTTCATACAATTGTAAGCTGCCCATGAATCGATAGAATCAAGAGTTGACTGAGTGACCGAGAAGCTGTTCGATGTAAGATTTTCAGAGGATGAGACATCGTCTACAAATTTCCACATTTTCGTGCCTGGGGAATTTACTCTCAAATCATTAATCATAATGAGGAACAATATTGGACCAAGTTTAGTCCCTTGGGGGACCCTAGACTTTCCAAAGTCCGCGGTTCGTGGTTCCTGGAAGCTACGGACTTTTGTCACCCGCAAGCGCGCCAAAATCACCGGTGCATTTTTGCTCCGGTGACGTCAGTGAATGCTCATTATTATTCTGTACTAACGACGCCATTTTGTAAAATTTATATTTAATATAAACCATTGATAAACAGACTCGCCATCCATTGTGAATATATGGAAAGTCGCATGAACAAAACAATAATGAACAAGACGCTCTATAGAGCGTTAACTGGGGCTGTACACCGTACAAACACGCACATAACCGTATATGATTCATACATGCATGCAGTACACAGTTGTTTCACTTAAGATTTATGGTTGTCCCTTGGTTGTCCCGAGCTAAGCGGAAC